CGCCGTGTGTTTTCTGGGTCATCGGTGAAAAACGTGTTGGCTAAGCTTTGTTCAAACAGGGCATGAGTAAGAATTAGGTCCCCTCTGAGACAAAGATACTCCGGGAGAAAGAGATCACGCGTCACGAGACGGGTATCATAGTCCACGGATTTGAGGCCAGCAACCATTTTCGTAGCGGCTCACTGGACGCGCCCAGTGAGGATGACGCCTTTCATGCGTATTGAGTGAACTTGGTTGGTGAATTCCAGTTGCAGTAGGGCGTAGCCCCCATTGAGTATTTGGAAGTCGGGGCGAGTTATATGGGAGAAGGTGCGCCGGATCATCCGGCGAATAGAGAAAATCAGACGCAGGCACCTTACCATATCGGTTCCCAAGAATGGAACCCCTGTTTGTGAGATTCCTACTGCGGTTGATCGTAGGATGGCTCAAATCAATCCCATTGTGTTATATGGCATTGGTATGGGGAAGCAGAAGTAGGATGAAGTTGGGGTTTAGTGCCCTAAATGAGCAGACTTCATACCAGGCACCCGATAACCTCGGTCTTCGCTATGGCTGCATTCACGGGTGAAATTTTGCGAAAACACGTGGTCCCTGGGTTCAAAGCTTGGTCTCACGACGGACAGGTAACAAACAGCAAAGAGGATACGTTAGTGTGGGCGGCGCCGGAAACAAGGAATCAGTAAACGGGCGCTGAACATTCTCCACAGCAGTCCGGAATGCGTGCGAATACTTTGAGGTGAATTTAGGGCTGGACTAGAGAATGAGTCCCACAAATCTTTTGAAGATGGCGGTTAAACAGGATTCGTTGTAGAAGGTTCGGCGAATGTAAGCGCATAGCTTGCGAGCTTTAGCCGCCCTGTACCTTGCTTGCTGGTTAAAGCTAAATGCGCCGAAATACCTAAGGTCGAGGTCTTTTACTTGGGGTAAGAGTAGAAATCTAGAGTCCATTAAGAGTAAGCGTTGCAAGAGGAACCTGGAATCGATGTGACAGTGTTGGGCAGAATTCCATACGGATCCCGCTTTACCGCACGTCTTTAGACGCTGCTACGACCGATAGCCTGACCCGCACGAGATTGGCCAAGAATTCGGCACACTTGCGGGTCCGGCATCAAGGCCTGATTGGTCAACAACCTGGACTCAACAGCCAATCGTGACCCAGCATTGGCCAAATGCCGGTTGCCAATGACACATCCAGAACGCCTCAGAGCTTCCAGGAAGTTATAACCGTTTACGCTATATATACGAAGCGCTGTACAACCGTTCTTGACTTCGTTTTGGGCATTAATAGACCCTGTGTACCTTGGTGGTTGTTTTGACGTGAACACCAGCTTGGGAGGCGCAGACCAATAATTAAGCTGAGGAAAATACCGTTACCAGGGCGTGGTATTTTGCAGCGGCGAAACGAAACAGAAGTTTGAGGACCAGAAGGGTAAAGAATTCAGGTCAGACTGAATTTTAGCAAGAGCAGAAAGAGTTTGACCGGTCTTGGACGCGTAAGCTCATATTTTACCGGTTCTTTCGCACGTGCGCTGGTGAAGTAGTGGTAGCACGATCACCTTGCGCGTCGGATTAGAGGCAATTTTGAAGCTAAAAGCNGGCGAATGTAAGCGCATAGCTTGCGAGCTTTAGCCGCCCTGTACCTTGCTTGCTGGTTAAAGCTAAATGCGCCGAAATACCTAAGGTCGAGGTCTTTTACTTGGGGTAAGAGTAGAAATCTAGAGTCCATTAAGAGTAAGCGTTGCAAGAGGAACCTGGAATCGATGTGACAGTGTTGGGCAGAATTCCATACGGATCCCGCTTTACCGCACGTCTTTAGACGCTGCTACGACCGATAGCCTGACCCGCACGAGATTGGCCAAGAATTCGGCACACTTGCGGGTCCGGCATCAAGGCCTGATTGGTCAACAACCTGGACTCAACAGCCAATCGTGACCCAGCATTGGCCAAATGCCGGTTGCCAATGACACATCCAGAACGCCTCAGAGCTTCCAGGAAGTTATAACCGTTTACGCTATATATACGAAGCGCTGTACAACCGTTCTTGACTTCGTTTTGGGCATTAATAGACCCTGTGTACCTTGGTGGTTGTTTTGACGTGAACACCAGCTTGGGAGGCGCAGACCAATAATTAAGCTGAGGAAAATACCGTTACCAGGGCGTGGTATTTTGCAGCGGCGAAACGAAACAGAAGTTTGAGGACCAGAAGGGTAAAGAATTCAGGTCAGACTGAATTTTAGCAAGAGCAGAAAGAGTTTGACCGGTCTTGGACGCGTAAGCTCATATTTTACCGGTTCTTTCGCACGTGCGCTGGTGAAGTAGTGGTAGCACGCTCACCTTGCACGTCGGATTAGAGGCAACTTTGAAGCTAAAAGCCTCTTTGAAGCCTTGGACTCAAACCAGGTGCACAACTATTAAATCTGCTTACCACCCTGGATACTAAACTTTCGGCTCCTCACCCTCGTAGGCAGGAGAGTGTTGAAATACTTCTCCACAATCTGCCTCAACCTTTTCAACAAACTCGGCGTTGTTAAACCGTCAGCTGCCTTGAACAACCGTCCATAATTGCACTCACAGAGACCTGGCTCACACCAGATGTCTCTGACGCGGAGATCTCGACAGACGGTTACTCTGTTTTTCGAGCTGACTCAAAACGAGAGGGGCTGGTTTTGTTGCTCTGTACTTACATGCGGCCCTACCAATCCCGATTCTCCTTTCTGACAACACCCCTGCACCCTTTTACGATGCATTGTGGGTCCGAACCCCGATTCTCTCCTTCTCGGCGTGGTCTACCGTAGCCCTTCGAGTCCCCCTGAAGATGACCAATTTTTCATACAAACCCTTGAACAACCCTCCTCCAACTACCACTTCACGCTTCTCCTGCTGGTAGGTGACTTCAACGCCCCAAAGGCCTCCTGGATTGAGCTCCAGCGCGTCGAATCAGGCGGACCTTTTGTAGCGGCAGTGTTTGAAGTCGTTCCACAGAGCGCTTGGACCCAACATGTCGTTGCACACATCAGAAACCGCGCAGGCCAACTACCATCCCTCCTGGATTTGGTCATCA